TCTGCACAGAGCAGGTCAGTGTCACACTGCCCCCTACTGGTATGATTGTTGTTCCTGCTGTCAGTGTGGCCCTGGGTTTATCTGCAGTTATGAAAAACGAGGACAGATCTATTATAAAGGGGAAAAAGCTGCATTTCAAAATATGTTTTCTTTTCAAATTCCCACAAAATAAAATCTACAAATTTCCCTATTATATTTTTTTTCTCTGCAGTTTCAGACATTTCAAATGTTTGCCATTTTTCTGTCTCAACATGGTGACAAAGCTGCAGTAATTCAGGTTGTAGATCTCTAAATAAACACAGTATAAATGTTTGTCCAATCTCAGGCCTGAAGAAGTCACACTGATTGTAAATTAATGCAGTTCACTGTTGAAGGAAACATAATGATGGGTTCAGAGGGATCTGCCTAGTTTCAGGTTTAGATAACAGAAACATCGTCACCTTAAATTTTATGAAACTTTTGATGTTTCTTCTTTTCCTTATTTAAAATGTATTTCATACACAGTTATTCTTGTTATACAATAAAATACACACATGAAGTAATAATAAATGACAGTCTGTGAGTATTGTAATACTGTGTATGCTGTGAGCAAAGCAACCACTAAAATATAGTAGTCCTTGTTAAAGTTTCAAGTTTCAATGACAACATTAATTAAATGTATTGAGAATTTTATAATTCAGATGATTTTCAACATGAATCATCACATTGTTGTTCACTGAGGACTTACCTAATACAGTTATAGAGACAGTATTACTGATCTTTGTATCATGTGAACTCTTCCTGCGACCAGAGCACTGATATTCACCACTTTGACTTGTAAACAAAAGTTTGTCTTTTTGTGTGCTGTACCTAACTAATTCTCGATCGTCCTTGTTGATTTTGTATTCCCAGTCAGTGTCTTTTCCTTCATTTATGTCACATTTGAAGGTAACAAACTCTCCAATGAAAAAACTCGACCGGTTGGGTTCAATAGTGAGCACAGCATCTAAAATCCAATATGACCACAAAGTTAACCTGAAACACTTTTATGCACGAAACAATCTGTGACAGTATGTTCATACACTGTTCATATATTTAATAATAAATAAATATAAAACATAAGTCAACTGTAATTAAGATTCATGCAGTATTTTGAGATGGATTTTTACCAGAAAAACCAAAAGACAGAAAAAGAGTAAAAACTGTTCAGTCACCTTGAGCGTGTCCAGTGCAGACGAGTGTACAGAGCACTACAATAAAGACACAAACTTCAGACTTTATCAAACTAAAGACACTCAAATCCAAAATAAATCAAACACTTGTGGTTGCACCAGTGGCTGCTATGATTTGTATGCATCAAATTATCACTGATGGAGAAACAAACCTTTCTTAGATAAACTAAAGCAGCTCCACTCTGATCTGAGTCAGTGCACTAAAATCTAATCGAGTCTACAAACAACCATGTTGGTAACAAACACGAGAGTCCTCTGATCACATGACCTGCAATGGTACAAATGACTGATGCTCTGTTCTTCTTACTAAAACGTGTTTATGGATCAGTATGAATCAAACAATAGAAGTCAGTGATGTACTCACAGAATAGGCCCAGCTCACAGAGCAAAGTGGCTCCCATCCTCACATCCAGCAGTGACACGTCTGAAAACTTCTACAACTTTCTGTAAAGAGAGAGAGTGAAGCAGCAGCACAGCAGATACCAAAGAGCTGTGAAGGAAACAAAGAGTTTTAAAACTTCTCTCTGCTTCCTTCCTTTTACACAGAAATAACAACTTAACAAGATCTGACCCGATTTTTATGAAAAGGCCTTTAACACTTGGACTAAACTGACCAATAACAGACAGACAGTAAGTTTCATTACACATATGTGAGCTGACTGATGGTTAAAGAGGAAATGAGGAGAACACAAGTCCAAGACTTGTTTTAAGTGTGAAAAACATTTATTTTATTTAAATATATAATATATAACATATATAATTATATCAGAGCTCAAAACATTTATTTTATTAAATACATAATAATAATTATCATTATTATTATTATTATCATCATCATAAAATATTTTCAGTGAGAACAGCTGCAGTAAAATCAGATGATAATAATTCATTCGGAAGGTTAAATATTTGGATACAGCCACAAACACAGCAGTTATATGAATGTTGTAAGTGGTGAAACAGGAAGAATGTAGTTTTAACATTTGTGCTTCCATGTTTAGTTTAGTTTAGTTTAGTTTAGTTTAGTTTAGTTTAGTTTAGTTTAGTTTAGTTTAGTTTAGTTTAGTTTAGTTTAGTTTAGTTTAGTTTACGGATCCATGTCTGTTTTTAGATTTAATACTGCAGCTTAACAAAGTGACAGATGTGACTGATGCTGGACGTCATTGATGATCATTAACAGTTTTACAGAGAATAGTTACAATAGAAAATAACCAGTGAGTGGAAGTTCACTGGGTGAAAATGACTTGATGTCAATGGTCAGACCACTCATTGCAACTGAGATATGCAGAAGAGCGTCTCTGAATGCACAACATGTCTAACCTTGAAGTAAAGGTCATAAAGCAGTTGAAGACCACACCAGGTGTCACCTGTCAGATAAGAACAGGAAACTGGTTATTAGGTTCTCCAAAATTGGACAACAGAAGCTTAAAAACGCAAGCATAAAAACATTGCCTGGTCTGATGAGTCTCAGTTTCTGCTCAGAAATTGGCAGAACCAAATCAATCAAATCAAATTAATTTCACTTTGATCTCCAAACAAACAGTGATTTCCATGTTTCCTTGTTTAGACTGTGGGACTGTAACCTCTAAGGTTTAAATGGATCCAGTCTAAAGTTTCAGAGCATCAGAAATCAACAGCAGCACTGAGACTGGACTCAATGATAAAATAGTTAACGGGAATAAAAATGTTTAATTTACTGCTCTGTGTGCTACATCATCAGATTAATGAGTTTCTACAGCATTCATATCTTGTCCTTTTTTAACAGTGTTACATTTATCTTATGTTTGATATCATTTACAAATTTTTAACCACTATTTAATAATATCTCTGCAGCAGGTGGCACTATGTGTCCCTCCAAACTATCAAAGCGCAGCTGATTCACAGAAGCAGGATTCAGCTTCGAGAGCAGAGTCCTGCAAATGTGTCGACTGTGTAGACTTTTCATTGGGACAAAGAGGGGGAGGGACTTTCACCCACCCAACACATGCTTTTGTGCATCCTCTAAGGTCCTGACTGCACGCTGTTTGAAGTTGATGATGTCAGCGTCTGCTGAATGTTCATTGGTTGGCAAGTGTAGCAAAATACAGCAGGAAAGGAAGAAGAACAAAAAACACTTCAAAGGTCAACAATGCACACATGCGAGAGCGTAAATCTG